TTTAGGGTGTGGGGGTTTAGGGTTTGGGGGCTTAGGGGTTTATGGAAATTGTATGGGGTTTGGATCCGGGGTTTTGAGCGAAAGTGTTGACCGAAAGTTTGGCTTTTTGCGTTTCAACTTTGATGTTGGGATTGGGCTGGGCTGGGGCTTGGGCTGGCTGGGCCTCAGGCTAGGCTGGGCTGCTTGGAACTGTTGTTGAACGGGCTTTTCGGGGGCTGGGCCTGGGCTGGCTAGGGCTGGGGCTGGGGCGGGGGCGTCCTATTTATTTCATGCTTGAGGGTTTAGGTTTTAAGGCTTTAGGGTTTACGGGTTTAGGGTTTTTAGGGTGTTCGGTTGTCGGGTTTGGGGAGTGGGGTTCAGGGCTTTGAATCAAGGTTTAGGGGCTGTGTAGTATCCTGTAATACACCTGTAGCAGACCGCACGCAAACCCCAATGCAGCCCTATGAATCCCTAAACCCTAAACCCTAAACCCTAAACCGAATCCATAAGGTAGGGCGGTTTGGGTGGTTACGGAGCAAGGTCTTACTAGTTTCAGGCGCAGGCACACATGGAGGCTAATGTAGGGTTTAGGGTTTAAGGGTTTAGGGTTTAGGGTAGGAACCTGATTAAGAGACCCCGGCCCTATAAGGAACCACGCACCTTCAGGACTGGGAGCTCAAGGCTTACGGGTGCAAGTCGGGAGCCCTGACTCTGCGCATCTCCATGGGCAAACCAACCCCAGCATCTCGGATTGTATCGTCTATAAGTATAACAGCAACAGTAACAAGGATAATAATAGTAATCGTAACGCTAGTAGTAATAATCGTTTCAATAATAATGAAACTAAGAAGAAGAAAAAGATGAAGAAGAGATGATGATGATGATGATGATGATGATGATGATGATGGTGCTGGTGCTGGTGCTGGTGCTGGTGCTGGTGATGGTGATGGTGATGGTGATGGTGATGGTGACGATGATGATGGTGATGATGAACAATAATCTGGTTAAATACAACCCCACAAGACACACAAACTCTCCTGGAAACCCATGATATGAGCCCTCCTCAAGTCCCGAATGCACAAGACCGTGACATGCTGGAAAATTACCGAAAGCCCTAAGCCCTAAAAATGTTAATCAATGGCCTTGTGACCAATCACAAACCCATAAACCTCAGCTGTTTTGACGAAGGCCTGTAACTAAAGAAACTCTTCAAGCACGCCCCATCGAAAACACCAACGCCAAGCCGCGCCAGAGCTTCAAAACCCTAGAACCCCTAAACCTTCAAAGCCTTGAACCAGTTTCCCCAAAAAAGAGCCCTTGGAAGGCTTGAAATAATCAACCAAAAACCAGGATGAAAAAACATATATGCATATGGATGTTATGTGTATATATATATATATATGTATATGAATATATGCATGTATATATACATATATACATATACATGTACATATATATATATATATATATAAATGAATACATGTGTATATATATATACACATGTATTCATATATATATATATATATGTATATACATACAGATATATGAGCATGCATATGTATATATATATATATATCTCTCTCTCTCTCTCTCTTTTTATGCCCCAGTTCCAGCCTGGTCGGACTCCTGCCGTGCTTCCGCGAAGCCGGGCTCTGCAACAGTAGGCACAACCTTTTGGCGTGCTTCATATAGGGGCCCTTGATGATTAGAACAGTCTTCTCTGGTTCCCTGTTGGGGCTATATTAAAAATGAATATTTTTTATCCTTATTGGATTTTATTATAAAACATTGTGTTCAACAAGGACCCAGTTCTTGTAAGAGATTGTCGATGGCTTTAAAAGGCCTCTTGGTATGGTCGCTCTGCAGGAGCAGCGAAAACATAAGTCGACAGGATTGTAAGAGTTTTTGCAAAGGCCTCTACGGGCAGGCTTTGACAAGCCTTCCTTGGCTTGTTTCCGTGGTATTGAAAGGTTCCAGGTCGCTTTACTAGTATCTCTGGGGCCTTTAGGTGGGGGAGGGGGGGTGTTCAGAACCTCAGAAGGTGTTAAATTGTCAACTTCCAGATCTCAGCAACGGGGTTTCGGCCTGTGGATCAGCCACAATCTCCCAAGCACTAAACCCTTAAAAAAAATCTCAAGCGGTTAACCCCGTCCCGAATGCACGCTCTATTCCGATCCTCGCAATAAATCTTTCTTTTGTTATTGTCCTGGCCTGGTGAGAATCTACACCCACGGCGGCAATCCTGACCTGGCGGATGAGCGATTGAAGCTTTGGGCCAACATGACAAGTGTTGCCTGGGACGCCGGAAGAGTCATGCTTCATACGATGCTGCCAGCAAAGTCAAGAAGAGCAGGTGAAACACCCGGAACAGCAAAATGGCAGCAACTGTCGCGATCGGAATCGTTCTTACACCTCTACGATCACCACCACCACCACCACCACCACCACCCCAATCACCACCTGCAACTACCGCTCCCACCACTACGACCAGCAGACACTACCAAAACATCAGCACAACCACAAGCGACATCATCACTGCAATGACAATCAGAGCAGCAGCTACAACAACAGCAGCATGAGCAGCTCATCAAAATCGCCGTCGTAATCACCCCAGGAATCATCTCATCCTTTCCATCAACAACGTCACCTTCTCTTCAGGCTTGGCGCCTCGGCTTCATCCGATGACTTTTGCAGCTGGGGCTTGGAAGTCCTCTGCAGTTGTTGCACAACTTGCGCCAGGACCGTCTTCGACTGCAGCAACGACTGCTCTGCCTGTACCACAGACGCCTTGGCTGGAGATTTAGAGGTCATCACTGTACCATTGCAGTCTGATCGGTTTAGGGGGTTGGGGTTTAGGGTTTAGGGTTTAGGGTTTAGGGTTTAGGGTTTAGGGTTTAGGGTTTAGTGTCGGGAATTTGCATCAGTATGCGCTCACCCCCCAGTGTGAACGCTGTTTCTACCCTCCCAGTTGGTCGAGCTCTACTGTCTGGTGCTTAGTAGGGAATGGGGGAATGGGTTATAGGGACTACTATAAGGGACCTTAAGGGACTATCATAGGGATCCATTCCCCCATTCCCCACTAAGCACCAGACAGTCTAGTTTCCGGATCTGTCGCGGAGGTTGGGGTTTAAAGCTGTTGTTCATGTTAATCTGGTGTACATTGCCCCGAGAACCCAATACTCCTTAACTAAGGAATATACCTTAAATTATAGGGGCCTTAATATTATGATTTAAGGTATATTCCTTAATTAAGGGGTAATGGGCTCTTTGGGTGTATATCTGGGCACCGAAGCTCCAGGTAGACGCTGCTTTTGGGCCGTGTGAATCGAAGCCCTGGGCATCGGAAAGCACGCGAGATCCACATTCCGAGCTTTGATCTTCGAGCTACAACCACTTGGAGGCCCAGGGGACTTAGTAAGTCGGTTCCAAGTAGGGATATAATTGGGGTAACTCTATCTAGGGTACTTATAACTCTACTTATAACCTACTTACTAAGTCCCCTGGGCCTCCAACCAAGGTCCGCATATCGAGCGCTGAGCCGCGGAGCTAGACCCGCCATTCGCAAACCATCTTGTGGCCCACCCCAAACCCCAAACCCCGAACCCCAAACCCTAAACCCTAAACCCCTAAAACCCTAAACCCTAAAACCCTAAACAGATCCGAGATCCACATGCGCAGCGTTGATCGGGGCTTTGGTGGGCGGCTACCGGGATCCACGGTTTAGGGTTTCGGGTTTAGGCTAGGAGTACCGACCGTTGACCTTGTGGTCTACACCGCGAATGCGATTCACATAATGTACGAGCCTTAATAATTAGAATAGGGTTTAGGGTTTAGGGTTTAAAGTTTAAGGTTTTAGGGTTTAGGGTTTAGGGTTTTAGGGTTTTTAGGGTTAGTGTAGGGACCTTGATAATTGGAATAGGGTTTGGGGGCATAGTATACTATTATTATTTTAAGGAACCCCCAAAGTAGTATTGGTTTTTCATGTAGTCCCCTATATTAACGATGCTGGATTTTGGAAATCGCAGGTGGATGCAGGCTCGCAAGGGGTGCTTTTGTCTCACCTTTAACCCTCCCCCCTGCCTTGAGTTGAAACGGCTTCACAAGCACCCGCTGAAGACGCACATCAGGGCAACCCAGCTCATCATAGCCGGCCACCCCGTGCTCGATTCACAAAACACACGCTCGAGACACACATCAGCAGCATCACCACACATCCAAACCAGTCATTTCCCAGGTCTACACGATTCCGCCGCCACCACCACCACCACCACCGGAGAGCATCATCATCCTTGTTGTCATCACTATCGCCATGGCTCCTGCCATCACCACCACAAACCTTACGCCGAACCCCAAAACCTGAGCGTTTCCGACGGTGACCTAAACCCTAAACCCTAAACCCCCAAACCCTAAACCCTAAACCCTAAACCGTAAACCCTAAACCCCTAAACCCTAAACCCCAAACACTACACCCTAAACCCTAAACCTTAGGCTCAAAAAAGCCAAGAGTCTAAAGCTTTGGAGAGGTCACCGACATCAAAGGACAGGTGGTGACCGTGTTTGTCTGACAGGCTGTACCTTGGAGTTGTTTTTTTTTTTTTTATGGGCCTTTTTCCAACTGCAGGTACAGTGGAATTCCTTACCAGGAGGAGCCTGTTTGGAGGGTTTAGGGCTTCGGGTTTGAGGTTTAAGGGCTTGGGTCAAAGGTGAAGGGATGTTGGCCGGAGAGGGGTGAGGGATCAAAAAAAAATTAAATCAGGATCAAAAAAAAATTAAACCACAAAGAT